CTACAATATCTTTTTACCACTAAATAATTTGTGAAAACGTAGAACAAAATTTGTTCATAACTTCACGATCTGTGATCCAAAATCAACAAAAGGGGCTGGTCCCTAAAATAAGGGATCTAGAGGGGCCGAAATTTTTTTCTAAATATTTTAAAAACGATTGAAAATTTGTGATACATTATTGAAGCAAAGTTGTTTAAAATTACAATTGGCAGCTGATGAGATCATCAAAAGTCGTCTAATGACGTGACCTCCGGTAAAACAGGAAGTAGTCAGAAAATGCATATTTTCGAAGTTTTGTACAAGTTGTTGCATGTTTTAAGTCATCAGAAGCGTCCAAACTCATTTTCGCCGATCGACCTCACTTTCGGCCAAACAGGAAGTAGTCAGATAAGGCTTATTATTGTGGGTATTGACAAGAAATTGAATGGTTAAAGTCATTGGAGACGTCCGACTTTATTTTTTGTCGATCGACGTCACTTCCAGTCTAACCGGAAGCAGTTACCAATGGATTCTCTTTACAAATACCTCCTTGTAATTGAATGATAAATGTCCCTGAAAACGTTTTACATCATTTTAAGTTGAATGCTCTTCAGAACTGTTTTCTTTCTTTCTTTCTTTTTTTTTTTTTTTACATTAATTTGCATTTCTGTTCTTCATTTTCTTCGTAGAATTGGACGGAAGACCTGCTTGTTGCTCCAGCAACGAGCTTTGCTCTAGTTATAGTTCCTGTTCTTTTTTGTCAGGTTTCTTGTTAAAGTCGTGATTGAAGCAGGTTTTATCAAGCATAAATATTATAAAGTCTGATGCATATTTTATTTCACAAAGTAGAGGGGAAATATCATAATGTGGACCGCAATATGGACATTTATTAATCACTGAAAGCTTTCAGCAGTGTCTTTATAGCTACAAACCCTTTAAATGATTATGACCCTTGTACGTCAGAGATTTGCACAGGTTGGCAATATCAAGTGATTCGACTCTCATTATTTCTTTCTGATCGTGTTCTTTAAAAATGCATGAATATAGTATGAAAACAAGATTTCTTTAATCTATTTGACATAACTATTTCAGATGTTTGTCTAGATTAGATGTTGTTGCAGAAAGCAAATAATTGAAGGTCACGTAAAATTTTGTAGAGCATTTGGTCTAAAAAAAAAATTGCTGTCCATCACAAAATCATTGAAACATCATTTAATTGCGAAAATGTCATATGATATTTATAGCGAGACATAACTTTCACGAATTCTAAAAAAAGTATTGGATATAATCTTAAATAATAAATGCGGTACTGTTCCTTTGAAGGACAAATTGATATATTTTGATGAAAGATAACATTACAAAAATCCTTTATAAACCTTTAATAAACATCATTTAATTTTCTGCTAGCAAAAGCTTTGCGAAAAATTATAAATCTAATTTGCAAAAGAGCAGTACAACTGTAGTAGTGAAAGGACTAATGAAAATTTGCACACGAATGAAATTTCCGTGAGCAGACGTTCTTGCAAATGAAAAAAGTAATTTACAGTAATAATCATTTTTGCGGATTCACGTACATTTTAAAAACGACACAAGAATGTATGGATCTTCTCACTTTACATTCACATAAGCCAGTAACTTGCTTAGCTTGATTTTCAGAAAAAGAAAAAAAAAGGAACTAACTTAACCAGAATTTACACGGGGTTAATCTAAAAAAAAAAAAAAAAAAAAAAAAAAAAAAAAAAAAAAAAACACTGTATTTTCAACAAACTACATTGCATTCAGTGGAATCACAGAATCATTCAACAATAATTACCCTTTAATAAAATATTATAAGGATCATTTACGAAGCGTTTAAGCCGTGTTTCACATATCCTTCAATTTACGTAGTTTAAGCTTTTTTTTTTTACTTTTCGTTAAATATTGCATCAAAAATTTGATGCGGGACTTGATTGGTCAATAGAGCTACAGCTTTTATAGAGCATTTATGACCATTCCTGTTCCGCCTTCCAACTGGTATTTGGTTTTCCAAAATGTGTATTTTTCGATTCGGACATTACTGTGTACGGAAAAGTAACCTCAATACTGTAAGTCGAGGAGAAGGAATAATATAATTACAGAAATAAAGGAAAAAGATGATTTTCGTGAAGGCTGAAATTGTATTCTATAGTTTACTTCTTCCAGCTTCGGTAAAATCTCAAAACTGGATAAAATGTGTGAATTTTACATCTTTTTAATGAACAATTCGCACGACTAGATAACATTGGTATCCTTTTCCTTCTTGTATATAATGAACGCGAAAAATCACGCAAGGTATGTCACTTGCCCCTGTATTACAATTGAAATAAAATTGGCTGAATTTTACGTGGCATGTGCTCTAAAAAGCGTGCTCATTTAAATACTAGTTTTTCAGTCAGATAATTATAATTATCAACAAAACAATAATATGCTTATAAAAAAATTCATTTAACAATATAGAAGTAGTTCTAAATTCAGGAAAGAACGTGTATTGATATAACATTCTTTAAAAAACATAACTGTTCACAAACGTTTTAAAACTACTTTCATTGTTGTATTTATTTCCATACAATAAAGAAACCCCATTTATTTATTTATAAGCTTTGTTCATCAAATGTTTTGCAGGAACGGAGCATTTGGTATTTTCAGGAAGAACATTTATTGTTCTCAAGAAAACAGCAATCAAACAAATGTAGGATCCAAAGATGTGAACACAACTCCAGATAAACCACTTTATGAGGAATTAAATACTTCTGAAAACATTACCGAATATCAGGAATTACAAGTCGAAAGCAAAATTGCTTATGAAAATTTTTCATTGGCTACTGTATAGGGCACTTCAATCATACATGTAATAACTTCATGTACTTTAAAAATCTTATATAGTGAAAATACATTCTTTTTTATTCATCACATAATTTTGTTTTGGTTTAAAGTCTATAGGTGTATAGTTATTGACATAATAAAGTATTTGAATTTGTCTTCGTGTGTCTTTCTGAGAAGAAAGTGAAAAAGCATAATATGAAACTTCATTTCAAAAGTAGAAAAAAAAAAACAAAAACATTTACATTATATTAAATGTTTTTGGTAAACCGTTGATATTGGGTTAAAAACATTATTCTTTGAATATCATGAGATACCTGTTTGCAAAATTTTGAATTTAGTATGACATGCAAAATCCATAAAAACATTTGTGTACTGTTTCACCAATTAAAGAAGCATGTGTTTTACTCATTTACAGCTTTCACGAGCTCGGCAATTTCAAATTCTCGAATCTGAATATGATGCGTTTAGTTTTATGCATGGAAAATATGCCCATCACGAAAGATTTATTGTAAATGATACATTTTTAACTTTATCTGTGAGTATGTCATCAAGAATTTTGAAATAAAAACGCTCTGTCTATTCACAAAGGAAAATTTGTTGTTACTTAAATGAATTAACTTGATCAAGCTTTTTCAATAATCCCAAACGCACCATATTTGCATCTTTTGTTTTGTTTTGTTTTGTTTTTTTTAGTTGAAAATCCATCATATTTATATAAATTAGATATTATCCAAAAAATGCATCTGACAAATTGAACATTATATTTAAAAAGCATACAAAAGTTAGGTAAAAATAGAAAAAAAGCACTTACACTAAATGAAAGATTTGATAGAGGAAACTTTAATTTCTTCTACTGAATACACTTACAAGGAAGAAATTAAACCTTTCCAGCTGTAAAATTGCGGAGACGACCTAACATATTTATTTTCATTATATTATTGAATCTTCCTGCTAGTTTAATGAGAACTACTGATAATAGAGTCATGAGATATAGAATAGTTCTACTTTTTACAGGAATAACTCATATATTTGGATTTGGTATGTAAAGTATTTTACATTTTTATTTTCTTCCCCCCTGTCACTGAAGTTTGAGGGGATGAAGTAACGCCCTTTTGTAACTGTTTTTTTTTCAATTAACATAAAAACAAAACTAATCAGGATTGGAGAACAAAACCAGGACAAGGAAAAAAGCACTGGGATTTTTAAGCTTTGAAACAAAAGACAAAAATGTAAAAAAATAAATAAATAAATAAATAAATGCTTTATTATTTATAATATCTTAATTTCGAATATCTTTCTATTATCTTAGCAGAAATCAGAAATCAGTTTGACAGGCGCGGATCATCAGATCAAACGAGACGCGAAGCGTCGAGTTTGGTCTGATGATCTGCGTCTCCCCTTTACAACTAACAAAAATAATAAAAGAAAATTTTTTGAATCAATAACTCAACTTTTGTCCATTAAATAAACCATTTTGTCAATGACATTTTTGATGCGCGAGAAAACACGTCATTTATCTGTGTAATACGTCATCAATTTCAGAGAGGGGTGATATGGATTCAGAAAACCACAGTGTGGTGATCTAGATTGTCGGATCACACCCTCACGTGATTGCATAAAGTCCACAGTAAAACTGAGTGACAAACACTTGGGTATATGATAAGTTTCCTTCATTTAAGAGACTACCTGTCATATGTAACCATTTTCGGTTTTCTTTTTGTAAGTCCTCCAATCCACGTTTGACTCTGTACATCCTACTCACATACACATATCAATAACTCCTAAAATATTATACATGTCCTAGGAAAGGCAACTGTAGAGATACCAATGAGCTTGTTAATATATTTGTGCCAATATTAATTCTGGATTACTTTTATAAAGCCTAAAACTGTAGATTTTGAACATTCTTCAAACTGGATATTACTTTTTCCTTAATACTTTTAATGATCAAAAACTGTAACTTCAGCAATTGCTTTACATGTACACAATTGCTTCTTATAAGATACCATACATTAATTATCTTTTCTTTTGAATTATCAAAAAAATTACGATAAATAAAATTCAAATCTGTTTCTATAATTTCATTCCTCATAGAAGTGTTATCAAAAGGTAAAAACGCCACACAGTCAACAGTCCGATCATGTATTTCTTCTACTTCCTGTGGTCCAGATAAAGCTGTAGATGGCGATAGAAACACATGTATGAGGACAACTGATATAGGTCTATCCTCTACATACAAAACTGTTTGGTGGACTGTAGATCTCGGAGCCAATTACAGCATTTACAGCATTAGTATAGATTTTAAAGACTATAAGGAGTTTGGAGATTACGGTATGTTTTGCTATTGTCTACAAACTACAAATACTAAAATAAGGAATACTATTGGTTTAGACATATACTTATCGCTTTCTTTCGTTTTCTAAAAAAAGAGTTTCATAAGCGTCTTTATCATTTCTTAAGGGATTAATTCATAATCGCTTTATTCTCCTCATGCCTTGCACTTTCTGTTGTTATTTGAATTATTGTTGCTTGATCTTCTTTGCTATAAAAAGTTAAAGGTATGTTTTTCACATTTGATAAATTTTGAAGTGTTTTTAAGAGGGAAAAATATTCACAGAAAAACAATTTGCAGAAATAGAGACCAACATGTCAACAACATTTCATTTTTTAATGTACATGTAATATCAAAGACACATATTAAAGAAGACAGCATATTGTTGTTCTGAGAGGATTTCGCTTTATATTTCAGAGATGAGACAAAGAGGCCGTTTTGCTGGATTTTCTCTTTACCTTTCTTACACACCTAATATAAAGGATGATGTTCTTTGTTACAAAAACACGCTTCCATTACCTCCCTTAAAGTTTAATACAACGTGTATTGGATATGGTCGTTACGTCATCTATTACAACGAAAGACTGGATGGAGTTTCTTACCCTGAAGGATACCAAACTCTGAATCTCTACACTGAGCTATGTGAAGTGACAGTACAAGGTTATTTTTTTTCAATTTGTTTTAATCAGTAATGTAATGATTTTTTTTCTTCATAAAAATATTTTATTCTTACCTGTAAAATTTTAACTTTAAAACACTTTAAGTTTAATTCTCTCGTAACTATCATAGAACCGATTTTTATGTTATCATATAACATATGAAATCTATACCCGCCTTGAGAGTTCTGCTTCATATAGATGCAAAAATAGGTCTGGTATAAACGTTTAGATCCTTAACTTTCTATCTTGTGCTTGCAAGAGTAGGAAATTAAAATCTGTGCAAATCATGGTACCCTTGGGTTGATTTGTGCTACTATCAAATGGAAATTATAGATAAAATATAGATGAATGCAACTCTAATGATCGTTTTGGCTAATATCGTAAACATTGCTCATAACAACAAAATACCAACTTGCCGTTCGTTTTGTAAATTTTCTTTAAATCAGGTTGTGTAGAAGAAGGATTTTATGGAAGTAACTGTAGCATACATTGTCCAATCAACTGTCAAAATCAGAGATGTAACATAGTCAACGGAGCATGCCTGGGGTGTTTTCCTGGATATGTAGGGGAGATGTGCGAAGGCGGTATGAAAACTAAGCTGTAAAATTAATAAAATTAACATTGCATGAGAACATTGATGTCTTAAATTTTATACATTTCTAAATTCAGAATGTGCATGGGGGTTTTATGGTATGGAATGCAAAAAGAAATGTGGACATTGTAAAAGAAACACTTCATGTAACCACGTGACTGGTAATTGTGATAGAGGATGTGCCGCTGGCTGGATTGGGAAACAGTGTAATCAACGTAATTATAAACGAAGTAGCCTAACAAAAAAGTATTGTTTATAAGTAGCCTTTTTTCTGGAGAGTAAATATCACTGTCAATACAATTAAAAAACCTTCGAAATTCCAAATTTTATTTTGTGAAAGTCTAAGGTTAATTAAAAAGAATATGAGTACGTTAAAAATGTGAATGTAAATTAAAAAGAATATTTGTAAAGAAATGTTTATCACTTACCTCATATGCCATTTCTGATTTTAATTCTATTTTAACGGACATATGTGCATTTAACACCCGTTTATTGCTTATAATTCACATGAAACAAATAAACATGTTGGTGTACCACTAAATTACAACAGAAAAATACTGTATATAAGCCCGATTTTTCAAGGTACATTTTAGTCCCGATTTATAATCAAGTCCTACAAATATCGGCATTTTCTGGGAGAGTAAAAGTGGTATTCATTCAATTTAACTGTGAACATGCAGGAAAGATAGTTATGAGGTACCCTAAGCATTATGAGAAATAAACTGTACATATTTTAATCGTCTTAATTTTGATTTTAAATGCTACCTAAAGAACAAATATTTATATTATACCTGCAACAAATTAAGAAACAGATAGAAAAAAAAAACAAAACAAAACAAGAACAATTACCTGAAATTGTAACAATTCCCGCACAAACTATAAGTGAATCAGTAGAAAATTTCTCTAACTTTAAAAATTCAATCGACCTATAGACGAAATGACTAAACTAACATGTAAGTAAAAGTTTATTACATGTATATTTTCAAACTGAATTGCTTATAAAACTTTTAGAAAGAACTCTGAAAAGAACTAGTTTCATAAATCTTTTTCAATTTTTTTGAAAGAAATGCATGGCTAAGAATGACAGAAAATAATATTTTTAAAATAACATAGAATGTAAGGACGGAACCTATGGTCCTGGATGTGCTTATAACTGCAGTTACCACTGCCTTAATAAAGCCTTCTGTAATAAGGAGAATGGATTTTGTGAATTCGGTTGTAGCATCGGATATTCTGGAAATCTCTGTAAGGATGGTAAGTTTTCACAGGATGATTATGAGTCATTCAGCCAACTGAACGGTCACTGAAAGATATTTGGAAAGGGGGTTTAAAGACTGGGCTCTGTTATTGAGTTATATTGCATTAATATCAGTCACCTTAATTCACTTAATGAGGTTGCATAGTTTTATTTTGTGTTTGTCATATTTTGATAATATTTTAATGTCCATGACAGGTATTTTAAATTCAACATTTATGGTTCTTTCGACAGTTTGTCCCAGTGGATTTTTTGGTCAAAATTGCAGGAACCATTGTAGTAAAAACTGTATCAACGGAAAATGTAGTTACATAGATGGAGCTTGTACAGAGGGATGCTCAAAAGGTTACACGGGGATTAGGTGTTTGTACTGTAAGAATCAAAACATTATCAAATTGCGATTTTCATGTACATTCAATTGAAGGCGATTCCTTACGAAGATCATTGTTTTAAGGAAACAGTGCCAGAGAAAAAAAAAATTATGAAGACATGTTAATATAGCTGTAATATTGGTGCTCAAAGTGTGTTTTCTTTTCAGTCTGTCAGGAAAGCTATTATGGTGAAAACTGTTCTAACCTTTGTCCAACAAAATGCCGTTATACATGTCACCATGTACAGGGAACCTGCATTGAAGGTTGGTAAGCGCAACCTTGCCTGAGTTATGTATATTATAAATACGCAAAATTATATTGATTAAAAATATTTGGTTCTAAGAAAAACATTGTTTGACCATATAGTATCAAAATTACCACGTCAGACCCTAAAAAGGAAGAATGAGAGATTTTATTGAATGTGTATAATCTGAAATGTTAAAATCGATTGTGATACTTATGATAGCTGGGTGAGTTATTTTTGTCTCCTGAAATACTGAAATCTATGTAAAAAAAAGATCCTTTCAAAGTTGGTAACTTATTGGTCTTATATACATGTTTTACTGCTGATAAAGATAAGGTGAGGACCTGTGTCAGGCTTTGTTATAATTATGTCTTAGTTTTGTCTAAAAAAGATTTCAAATATAATTTATATACAATGTACACCAAAATATCTCAACTGGTTACATAAAATTAATAAGTGTGCAATTCTTTCTGGAGGAATACTTGAAGATTATACTTGACTTATCATTTCTGTTTTATATATTTTTATTTGACAAGGAAGCTCCACCGATATCAATATATTTATGATATCAGACAGTATCTTGAGATCGATGTGATTATCAGTGGATATACCTGCCTCTGCTTTAAAGATTATAGCGTAGGACTTATTGTCAGAGTGATTTTTGTATGGAGAGGGGCAGAGTAAATCTCAAAATAAAAAAAAAAAAAACAAATACTTGATTTACAAATTTATTTATTTTTGTTTTATTTCTGTTGTAGATGAAGCGTCAACAGGACAATGGAAACTAGGATTTTCAGTTTCGGCGACGCTTAACATTTTATTGTTAATATTTTTTGCTGCCTTTATTACACTCAACAGGTAATATAAAATAGTGATTATATTGTTGTTTTTTGTATTTTGAATTGCAATGCGACTTCATTTTTTTTTATTTCACTCTATATATCCTTAATATGAAAACGTAATTTACATTATGAATTTGTTTATCTTTTTGTTTTCAGGAAAAAACTCAGTATTTTTTTTCAAAGGGAGAAAATACACCAAATTGCAAGAAATAGCAACAAAACAAATATAGGACCTGCAAATGTACAAACTAATTCAGAAAAACCATCGTACGAGGATTTAAATACTTGTGAAAATAAAGTCGAATACCAAAAATTAAATGTAGAAAACAAAATTGCTTATGAAAATCTCGCATTTATATAATATATAAATATATAGAAAATGTTCAACATTATACTTTTGTTTACAATTTTATAATACTATTAAACTTTATTGTTACAGTCCATCTTTACGTGCAATGATTTGTTTACACGTGCTTTTATATCATCATCAAACTTTGTTCACATAAATGTATTTTATTTAATAAATAGCTTCGAATTGCATTTGCCTTCAAGTGTGTACATGTACATGTATAAAGAAATGGAGAGGAGGACAGAGAATTTAACCTTATTTCAAACATTAGAGAAGAACAATTAAAATAATTTTATATAAGACGAATGAAAGTTTTGTATCAGCAGGGAAGATTTTCACCATATTTGTCTTATAAACTTGCACTTTAATGACATTGTTAAAGTACCTGATATAATTGCCCAGAAGTCTGTTGTATTATCTGTATGTTATTTTTGGCGGAATTTGCCTTTGATCCTCTTATAGTTGGGTACAATTTTATTTTTTGCCAAAATGAATTTACAATGTCAATTTCAGATAAATTATCTGATGTTTTTACCTTTGTTTCAATTATTTTCGAAAATGACACCAGTAATTTATATTTTATTCTCAATAAACCAGTTTCATATGCAAACCTTGATGATATTACGTGAATTATAATGATATATATGGAAATTAAGATTGAAATTAATATAATCGTCTGAGTTACTTTAAAAAATGTCATCAAAATAGTGTTTTTAAGATTCGCCTATAAGTCGGACGTAGCGTTTTGGACCAAATTTCATTTCCAAAAATCCCACATATAGTTCAGCATATACAATACATTGTACATCTTGTATGCTGAGAATTAATTTAATATATTTTCATATTTGGGTGCTTTACTGGACAAGGCAAACTGACAACAAATCTTTTTGATAAACATGGAGATCTTCGCTAATATCCCTCATTTGCGTTGTTATAGCATTATCATAGAAATATATATGTAGTTTATGTCTCACAGGTGATTCCCACGCAAGGACACAAACGACAGGCTACTGACAAATTAGTTGATTCTCGTTGAAAATCTCTATGGTCAATGTAATGCCCTCTGAAATACAAATTCTCCCAAAGTCAAAAATTGAATGAAGACTTTCATACTTTGGCACATATTTTTGACATTGTGACAAAATCTTACAAAAGTCTCCCATTTTACCTGAAAATATCGTTCAGGTTACCTATTTGAATATTAATCTTTGAGAAATATTGCTGATTTCTGAAAAAAAAAAGTTTGTGTTATTTATCTTTAAATCATGGTCAACAGGATAGGACGGGGCTATAATAGAGGATCCATCTCCTACTTAGGAATATTGAGTGAAAGATGTTTTAAAGCCATGACTAACCAAAAATGTATGACTGTATCCTTACTTAGTAGATTCATGTTTGTTCAAATTATGCCCCTCTTGGGGAAGGCTGAGATCACATACATGTCAGGAGACTTTTAGTCCAAATGCGGCATTGGTAAAACAAAGAATTGACGGCATAAACAATGCGCTTTTTTCAATTTTCCATCATTTTATCCCACTTCCTCATTGGTAAAATTAAAAGAAAAATAAAACTGTTAAATATTATCATGGGCTTCCCGTGAACTAAATAAAAAAGAGAATCTGATTTCTGATCTTTATCTATTTAACGTTTTATAATCAGTTTAATTTGATTTGTTCAATTTTACAGATTATGTCATTTTTAATCTCAAAAAAAAAAAAAAAAAAAAAAAAAATTTACAAGTTAATTATGTGTTTGAATGGGATGTTAATCCAATCACATTAGTGCAATGACCTGATATTAACTGTAATGTCCTGATGAACTATTATTTTGTTTAATTCAATATATATCCTTTATAAGCATTTTTTTTCTTAAATTACAGTTACTATTTTATAATATTTTAATACAAACATGAAAGTCGCCTGCGTGGCGCAGTTGTTAGAGCGTCTGCTCTAGAGTCGCGAAGTAAGGAGTTGATCCTTACGTCGCGGGTTCGAATCCCATTGTGGGACGTGGAGACCGGTCCTTCGGAAGAGACCTTTTAAACCGAGGACCTGTGTCGCAGTAGGTGCTGGCACGAAAAAGATCCCTCACTGCTCAATGGCCGTAAGTGCCGAGCATAGGACAAAATTTGCAGCTCTCCACCGGCAAGTGGTGGCGTCTCCATATGAGTGAAAAATTCTTGAGAAAGACGTTAAACAAAATACAAACAAACAAACATAAAAAAATGGCATGTATTTTGTTTTTTTACAAATTTTATATACATTTCAATTTTGCTATCGTGTAATGACATACAGTCCCTGAAACGTTCTACTTTCCCACTTGAACGGTGAGCGAACGCTGAACGAACGCTGAACGAACGCAGAGCGAACGGTGAGTGAACGATGTGTGAACGCTGAACGCAACTTGGTGAACGATGTGTGAACGGTGAACGGTGAGCGAACGCAGAACGCGAACGGAGCGCAAACGCGAACGCAAAGTGAACGGTGAACGAACGGTGAACGCAAGATGAACGATATATTCGGAATGCCTCTGATCTTTTCCTTGCATTGAAACTATTTTATTGTATTATAATGTCAGGTGCCAAAAAAAAAAATAATAATAATAATAATAATAAATAAGTAAACAAATAAATGAATGAATAATTAAGTCAATAAAATAAATTCTCCAAAATTGTCCTCAGAAAGACGATGCATGTACATTAAGATTTTAATCACACGATTTTTATCGCATTAAAACATTGCAATTGTTGCCAAACGCTGAAGTATAAAAGATATTGTTTTTAGTTGGAAAATAAAAATGTTTATTCTTAGTTGATAACAAATCAGAGAAATCTTATGATTTATAGAATGAATTAAAGCGGTTGTAACTTATATTCATATATATATATATATATATATATATATATATCTCCGTGTCAAGGCGATTCCGTGTAAAGTAATGAAAAAAAATTAATTACATTTATATGTTCGTATTTTAAATATTTAAAACAATAATATATTATGTGTCATTTCTATTTTTTCATTATGATTTATTGAGCAGACGTCTACATGCATCTCTAGATGGCCGTGATTATACTCGGACAAGATCATGATGATACAAAGATACATATTCATATTATTTGTTATAAATTCAATTTTCAGAACTTGATATTTAAGTAATATGGTGTTATAGTGTTATAGTTTTTATTAAACAACAGACAAATGAGAGAGAGAGAGAGAGAGAGAGAGAGAGAGAGAGAGAGAGAGAGAGAGAGAGTAATATTCAGTTTTAGCCCCCCCCCTTTCAGGCTTCACCAAATGTTTGTACCTATATCAAACAAAAACTCTGAATTTTTTTTCTAAATATATCAGACAGTGAAAGTAACTTTTTTTTTTATCAACAAATCATATCCATTTGTTTCACAGTCATACTCGTTTTTTTTTTTATTATTGTCCTGCTTCAAGTTCACACAAAGTCCACGTGCTTGTCCTGTCAATCAAAATCATTCGACACTGTGAAGGTGTGAAAGTTTCGTCACATCGAAGACGAAGTGCGAGTATTTCCAACAAGTTATAATATTTATTTTTATCATTTCTAGATTTGAATCCAACATTTGAATAATAAATTAGTAAAATACAGTAGGCATTAACACTTGAATGTGAAACATACTCTCTGCCAATTTCAAATACCACCGCCGACACGTGTACATTTTGATCTACTATTGTTTTGTGACTTTTTTAGATGCATGTTTGTTTTGAGACTGAAATTTTTGTTCCACAAAAGACCGTAGCTTTTTTTTAAAATGTTAATTAAAACATTCTGGAAATACGGTACTGACTAAGTCACCGATTTAGGGGGAAAGGGGGGGGGGTATTAATCATATCGATTAGCAAACATATAAAGTTACGGTGAAGAAAGTTTTTTTTTTCTCTATAACTATAGACTTTACATATTACAGTAGAGAAATTCTGTAGTGCATTACATTTTAAATAAATATTTCCTTTAACCACACTATCAATTCGTTCTAAAGATAATAAATTAACAGGATATCCGCAGTACTATGTATAACTCTCAGAACTAGCACTAGTTCTATTATATTTTCTGTAGTAATTGAAAAAAAACGTATTAGAAATAAATATTTTCGTAATTTTGCTGCGTAATTATTTGACTTGAATAATTATATCTCCATTTATGATTTGTCGTCTTTAACAAAACAAAAAAATGTTGCAGTGCTTGAAGTATTTGCACATTGCCCTTAGTTAAATTTAATATTTCTGCATCGTTCTACATAGGTAAAGAATGTGCTTTTAACAACATTTATTTTCCAGAGTAATTTAATAAATAACCTAACAGCTAAGTTAAAATAATAAAAATATATATCGTAGATATTTTTCCTCATGAAATAATGATTCTTCAAACACGATATGTTAGTTAATAAATTATAAAAAACCTGTAACTCCTTAACTACAAAAAAGATAAGTCCTTTCACTTCGGAGTTCCGAATGGCAATCAAAACTGAACGATAGGTGAACGCTGAACGCAAGGTGAACGCAAAGTGAACGGAACGAAGAGCGAACGCTGAACGCTTTGTGAACGGTGAACGCGAGCGCACGGTGAA